TAATGGCGGCGGCGCTGAGGGAAGAGGAGGGGACAGGCCGTGAGGGCGGCAGCTCCTCYGCGCCATCGCCCCCCGCCGGCTGCGGGAGGSACAGAGGAAGGGAAGGGAAAGGAAAGGAAAAGAAAGGCGCTGTTTCCGCCACGGCGGGGCGGGTCTGGGCGGAGAGCGGCGGCGCGGCGGGGCCGGCAAGGGTAGGGGCGGTGAGGGCCGCGGCCTGGCGGGACGGGGGTGGGTGTCTCCATTCTGTCTCCCTCACGAAAAAAACCTGGTGGAGCCGGGATAGAAAGCGGGGCTCGGGGTCTCTTCCTCGGTACCAGTCACCCTCGTTAGCGGGGATTCTGTCAGGGGCAGCGGGGCCATGGAGGGGCAGTGATGCCATCGCTGCGGGGTGCGGGTGTGCATCGCTGGTCTGGACACCCACCTCCGGATGCTTCTGTGCGCTGAAATCAACTTAACCCCGCGTATTTCAAACTGTGGGAATGATTCGGCCTTTTTGTAGCCCGTAGAGCATGTTTTGAACCTAATATTGTTCTGCTGTCGTCGTTTAGTTCTTTTTTGTAAGCGATGGAGGCGAGTCCCGGACACCCACCTCCGGCTCCTTCTATGCGCTGAAATCAACTTAACCCCGCGTATTTCAAACTGTGGGAATGATTCGGCCTTTTTGTAGCCCGTAGAGCATGTTTTTAAGCTAATACTGTTTTGCTGTCGTCGTTTAGTTCTTTTTTGGAAGCGATGGAGGCGAGTCCCGGACACCCACCTCCGGCTGCTTCTGTGCGCTGAAATCAGCTTAAGCCCGCGTATTTCAAACTGTGGGAACGATTCGGCCTTTTTGCAGCCCGTAGAGCATGTTTTGAACCTAATATTGTTTTGCTGTCGTCGTTTAGTTCTTTTTCGGAAGCGATGGAGGCGAGTCCCATCGTGACGTCCAAGCAGCGGGAGGAGGTGGTGCACGGGGTCCCGACGGAGGTGGTGTGCACGGCATTCTCCAACTCGGTGCTGGTGGTGGTCACACAGTACGGAAAGATGGGCACCATCGTCTACCTGGACCCCAACACCGTCGGCGACAACGTGGGCAGGCCCTCGCTCACCACCAAGGTGCTGCTGGGCAAGGATGAGGTGAGAGCGAAGGGGGAAATGGAGTAGGTGGGGCTGTGCAAGCTGCCAGGCAGTTGATGAATCACAGCAGTTGAGCAGTGTTTGAACAGTGATAAGATTAATTTTAAAATGAGGAAAGAGGGGCTCATCAGAAAAGTATGTGTGCTCGTCTGCTCTTTGACATAAAAGTTTAACTAGCCGTGAGTGGTTTGGGGATCTGTTACTCTGTGTCCTACAGGATATGGATTGCTTCTGCGTGTTTATGGAAAGTTTGATAAAGCTCTGTTGATTTAAAGGTTGCGAGATTAAATATGCAGCCACTGATAACCTTTTTGGGTTTCTGTTCCTGCGAGTTTGTTTTCCTTTTCAGGTCAGTTTTCCCACCCCCATCCTGCCCAATCTTTGCCAGCCCCATAAAATGGACTTTAGTTGCCCACTCCAATGTGTGCCTGCCAGCACCTTCCCTTGATAAATTTGTTTTGCTTCAACAAAATGAGTTTTTATCSACCATTTCACAAAGCTGGAAAGCAGAAGAAAATGTGTTTCGCAAAACATCAACTGGTCAAGCATTAAAACAGAGAGTTACAGAGCTAGAAGATTATGAGGCTTTCCATTAGGTTGAAGCTATCAAATATTACTTGCTAGCTTTAACTAGAAAAGCTGTAGCAACACAAGTTCCTGATTCTATCCATGACTTCCCCTTGTGGAGTTCTTTCTCTTGAGCAATAGCCTTCCCCTTCTGGATGGGAGATATTTTGCTTTCTCTGCTGTGGTATCTGCTAAGTCTGATCACCTCCACCCCCAAGCTGATTTTGTGTTTTATTTGGAAATGGGGAAGTGCTACGTTTGCTTTGTTACATTCTATTTTTAAATAATTTTAACTAAATTAACCAATCTAAACTTCAAGAAACTTCAGTATTTAAAGGCCATTTGGACAATGCCCTGAAAAATCTTTAAACCTGGTCAGTTCTGAGTTGGTCAGGCAGCTGGACTAGATGTCATTGTAGGTTCCTTCCGAGTGAAATAGTCAATGCTATTCTAATCTATKCTTGTTAAAGAAACTTCATAAGAAAGGGTATATTCCTCTTCTTGCCTCCTTCAGCCTCATTACTTATTTCTGGTTTTCATGATGCTGTTAAAATAAAAAGCAACATATCTTGTTACACCAGGCATACAAAAACAGTGTATATAACCCTTTGGGGTCTCTAGGAATTGCAAAAATAACACCTTTTTTCCAGAGCTTGTCAGTGGAACATCCCCTCTTTTTGTAACAAGTTTTTAATAAAAAAAAAAAAAACTACTTGCAAACTTCTTTAGAAGCCTGGCTATGAAGGAAATGAAGGCATTTTGATCCACAGCATTTCCTATAATTTAATCCTGGTGCCATAGTTTAGGTGGGAGGATTAGTAGAAGGAAAGATTCTCCATACTGAGTTTCCAAGTTTTCTAGACAATGCTAAACTCAATTCAAGTGCAGTTCTAATAAATTTGTTTCAGGGTGGTGTGGGTGGCTGGTTTGGGACCAAACTCTTTTAAGCTGGTTGTGAAAACATTTTTCTAAAGTTCCCTGTCCCATGGCTTGGCTTTGCTCACCATCTTGGACCCACTCAGCAAACTTCAAGTTCTCTCCAAGTCCAGAATCAACAGCTTCTCCACGTCCTTCCAGGACTCTTCCTCTCCTAACTTGCATGGGAGGACTCTCCCATCTGCAGGAGTGTACATCTGTATCCTTTTGCTTTTCAGCCCCTCGTCCATGTTTGTGCMAAAAACTTGGTGGCATTTGTGTCGCAGGAAGCTGGGAACAAACCTGTTCTCCTCGCCATGGCTTTGAAGGACAAGACAGTGGAAGGAATACAGGCTCTACGAGAAGTGATCCGAAGTTGCCAAGTATGGTGAAGTTGTGCCATCTGGATTCAAGGAAATGATCTTGAGTCCATGACTCATCACCACCTATTTAAAAGGACTAGAAATGAAAACTGTGGAATGTCTTTGTGGTGGTTTTGGACGTACTGAGGAATTKAATGAATTTTTCTCTACTGTGTAGAACATGTGTGGGTTTTGTTACTGGGACAGGTTTGCAAGTCCATATAGACMGTGGTGAGACGAGAGCAATTGTCTCAACATAAAAGAGAAGTGTTACTTTTATCACATTGGGTGGGTCATTTATTTGGTAAAGGGCTCAGCTCTGCACGTGTGTCCTGARGAGCAGTGGATGCCAAGCTCTGTAGCTGTGCTGTACCACACAGGAGGAACACCCAGTGCAGAGGGAATAAAAGAAACATTGTCAAATCTAATTTTACCTGTTTTCTTTTTTGTTCTGTGAGAATCACTTCAACTGAAATACAAGCCTTGGTWAAAAATCAACAATTGTATAATGGGAAAGATTTTCTTGCCTTTTTTAAGAAAATGAGTCCTGGATGCATTTGTCCTTATGTCCAGCCCTTTCTGGATGTGCTCTAAATTAATTTTCTACTTTCACTCTGATTTAAAGAGAGGCGGATAATTATGCTTTGCAAATTTCATGAAAGCTGATGTCAGGGTGGAAGACAGGAACCCAAAATAGTGATGAGAAGATAACCTCTGCCAATGGATTACATGGTAGCAGCACATCAGAGAGACAGAACCACGTGTTGATCACCTGCAATGTGCATCTCTTAGGAGACATGGGGGGACAGAGGGTTTAAGGGATTGTTTCTGCCAAGTCATTGACAAAGTGTCAGATGTAGTTGTATGAGCTGATGCAAACCTTAATAGCCAAACTTTTGCCTTTTGCTTGGAAAGCATGTTTGTTTTTACCTCTTGTAATAAACAACAACAAGTGGTAAATTTTAAAATGAGCTGTTAACACACTTTTGTCACTTACKAACTTGACAGCACAGATGGAGGCCAGGTCTTGGATTCTGGGCAGGGAGGAGCTGTGCTAAGCCCAGTTGGTACAGCACAATCAGCACAGAGCCTGTGCCTGCCCCATGGTGATCCAGCTGCTGGGTCATTTCTGTTGCTAAAAAATCCCCTAGAAGTAGAAAAGCAGAAAATGGATTTCGAAAGGACTCTTTTCTCTGAAGTGAGGGTTATTTACAGCATTTAAGGGATTATGAGAAATGAAACTTTTTTTAAAAAATACATTCAAACACTTCCAGCTGCCCTTGACAAGAAGCTTCATCTAAAAATAATTYTCCAAACTGTGCTTCCAAGAATCAAAGATTCGCATCTGTCAGAACTAKAAATTTTCCTCTTTTACATTTCCCTTTTTTTTGTCTAGGAAGGCTGAGAGAGGCATGTGGAATTAGTTATTGTCAATCTTTGGTTTGCTAGTAGGGATTCTTTCCTGACATACCAAATTCAGTGTATATCCCAAATCCTGGTGCTCTTACTGTGTCCATGGCTCCAGCAGCTTGTGGAAATCAGCAAAATGAATATATTAGAATACATGATTTAGCAAAATGAATGGAAATTGCATCTTCCACTGTGGTGATACAGCATCATACCAGTGTGTGCCCCAGACACCTGAGTGTTACTTACCTAAAAGCCAGGCACAAATGAAGCACCTTCATTTCCTAGCTGTGTATGTGCAACAAGCTCTGCACAGGGTGATGGGTGAGGAAAAGATGTGGAAACCTCTCTGATTTGATGTTTGGAGCTGAGACAGACTTACAGGATAATGGGTGAGGAAAAGATGTGGAAACCTCTCTGATTTGATGCTTGGAGCCAGGACAGTTTTACCTTTCTGTCTGCATGTGTGATATATTAAAGTACGAGCAATTGGTCCTTCGACTTTGGTCCTCTCTACTCTACAGTAAACCCAGGGGAAGGCCTGACCAAACAACAGGCACAAGGTGCCACCAGCTGCCTTCCTTTCTCTCCTCCAGGTACGGCTCGATTCCCAATTGCAGGGAAAGCTGCCTCTGCCACCCAAGCAGAGCTCTTGGCCGCAGGACGCGTGCTGGGTGGGGGGCAGCGGCGTCGGGCTGCACCGCGGCTCTTCATCTGTTTGCTTTGCGGGCGTGGGTGCCGAGCGCGGCGGACTGGAAAGGTAAGTTGGGTAGCTTTYCTGCGGGAGACAAAGCCCGACCTGCTGCTCCAGCTCCCGCGGGGCCCGGGGCGCAGGGAGGGCTGGCAGGGTGAACCGGCACAGCGACGCAGTGCTGGGAAGGTAAGAGGGGCACCGGCGGGGCCCGGGGCACAGMAAGGGCTGCTGGRGGGCTGGCAGGGACAGAGRGGTGCTGGTGGGAACCGGGGAACAGCGAGGGTAATTGGGACACTGGCAGGGACCGCGGCCAGCAGGCGGGCAGGGCTGGGAATGTGTCCGGAGGAGGAGTCTCCAGCGGGTGCAGGTGGAGGAGGGCACGGGGGATGCAGAGGCAGGGGCACGGCAGCCAGACTCGCTCCCGGAGGAGCCCCAAAGGGTGAGTGGGGCCTTGGGGGGTGCACAGGAGCCGGGAGAAGCCCCACAGGTCAGGGGTTGAGCCAGCTGTTGGTTCTGAGCACCTGTAGGAGCTGCTGGGAGGGCAGAGCCTCCTCTGAGAGCCCTGTGCCTGCGTCATCCCCTCCTCCAGACGGGCTTCAAGGAGGGTTCGATGATGCCCTGCCTCGATTTGTGTGCTGTAGGTCCTTCCTCCTGAGTGGCCTGRTGGTGGTGTGGAGAGGCTGGTCCGGTAAATAACCCGAGTGTCCTGGCTTTTTCTGAAAGGCGTGTCTCCTGCGCTGGTGGGGCTAAGCCTGGATGGTCCCCTCCCCGGAATGTGGGTCAAGGATTTGGGAGGCACTTCTGGGGGTTTTTGTAAAGGCTTACTTTTCCCTGCTGACTTGCTCCACCCCACAGGGGGCTGCTGCTGAAATGGGGATTTGTCCCATGTCCTTCAGAACACAGGGAGGGGATGTGAGCTGGGAGTCAGAGCTCTGACAGCCTGGAGACAGAGCAGAATCCCTGGCAAGGTGAAAATCCCCGTTTGCAGGTGGCCTGCCTGAACACAAGTTTCACTGCTCAGTTTGTCTTCTCWGTTCTCACTCAGCATCTCTAATATCCCAGGGAGTGAGTGTAACAGGTAGACACTGTAAGGCAGGTATCTGCAAGGTGTCTGAAAACAGATTGGATATGGCTCGGTCCCATCGAGGAGCTGAATTTTGCAGCTGCTATTATTCCCGGTGTCTCCTTGCTGCCTTTGTTTTGGAAGCAAATGGCTCTCGAACTGCATTGAATAGCCTGACTACCTTGCACGGCCGGGATCTAATTACCTCTGGAGCTGGGAGCTCTGTCTCCGAGCGGCACCGAGGCTTTTGCTTTTAATGACTTGCTCTGCCACGTTCAGAGTGTGACAATGTCGGGGAGGCTGCCAGGACTGGCTGTCGGTGCCACTGCGCTCGCACCGCGATGGCTGGGAAAGTTAACAGAAGATGGGATGTCTTGGGCCAAGCATCTGCGGCACAGCACTGGGYTGAAAACACAATAAATGGGTCTAGTGAAGAGCACAGCTCTCTGCCATGTGTTGAGGAGTGAGCTGGATTACTAGAAAAGTGACTGAAAAAAACACAGCTAGAAAGAGGGAACTTTCATTCTGCTCTGTCATGATTCTCTGGCAGARGGAAAGCCTGGCCAAATGCAGCCGTATAGCCCCAGAAAAAGTGAGGAGTTATCGGGGAACAGCCGGGCTCTCCTCTCCCGCCCTGTGCCAGGAGCTATCTCCGTCCTCCTGTTAATGTTTACAAGACAGGTCTGGCAGCATCGAGGTCTGTCCAAAGACCAGATCCCGCCCCGGCTTTCCCGGGATCGTTCTCGCTGCTGTCCGGGCAGGGCCACAGGACGGTGTGGGGAGGAAGAAGGCGGCTCAGCGCTGTACCACCATCGGCCCCCGGTCCCCGCAGCGCTCCGGCTCCGCTGCCCGCGGGCGGTGCAGGTACTCCGGGCTGAGCTCCTGGCGCCGTGCCAGCTGCTGGCTCCGCTTACAGGCCATCCTGCCGGGCGGAGCCGGGGAAAGGTATTTTTAGGGCTGTTGATCTGACACCAGATGAGYTTCCTCTCCTGTGAGGTTGGGGTTCGGTGAGAGGGCACAACAGGGAGCCGCAGGGTGAGCTCTTGCTTCGGTTTGTTTTCAGTGTTTAATTGGACCGAGGTCATTCCCTAGCACTCTTTATCTATGGCAGATAGTTTCGTGCTTCTCTCCAGTTCATGCTTACAGTTTTACCTCAGGTGATAGTTACACAGCAGCTAAAATATTTGTTTATTAACAATGCACTGAGAAGCATCTACGTTGTTAGAGTTCAGCTTGCAGGTTGTTGGTTTTTTTAAACCACTACTGTGATACTTGGGGAAAAGCAGCTTTCCATAGATTAGCAGAAAGAGAACCCGAACATGGCAGTTTATGCATCTGTTGGCCTTGAGATATGAAGCTGCCCTATAAATAATTGCTTATTATTAGGTTGGTCCTCGCTGTCTGGAGCCGCAGGGTACACGGTGTTCGTGTGCCCAGCCACCCTCTGCACCAGGAATGCTCAGTGCCTTGAGGCTTCGAGGGGGACAGGCAGATGCCATAGCACTCCAGCAACCCCAAAGGACAGCAGCTCTGCCTCTGGCATGGCAGGCTTTCCTGCCTGCTGCTTAATTTGGGTGCAGGAAGGACTGCTGGCTGCCCTTCAGCTCTTGGGGTTGGCACTACTGGCACACTGACACCCCCACAATCCCARAATAGCTGGGTGAAGAACCTGGGTGACACCAAATGTCTGGTTTCTTAGGCAGCCTCAGGTTTTGCCCCCAGCAGGCCATACATGATCAAAGGAGACAAACTGGGGGGGACCTGGTGTTTGCTGAGCTCCCAAGGGAGAGGACACAAGTGTCCTGATGGCTTGTTGTTAAGGGACTTGTTATTATTGTAGCTTTAACCCTTAAGTTTCTGATAGGAAAGGGTCTTGAGCCACAAGTGTGAACTCACATGGGCACAAATACACACAGATCATTCCTTTTCAAGCAGGAGTGATTCCTGAGAAAGCAAGGAGCAAGGAAGGGAAGAAGTATTTTGGGAGACATGGGAACTGTATAGACCRCCTCAGGGGAGGGTCTGCTTTTGAAGAACATTTGTATTTCGTGCTGGGAGAAGCAGACCTGACCATGGCAAATGGGTTGATTTGGGTGAGGGACACCCTGGAAAAACCCTGTGGAGGAGGTTCATGCATGGGCTGGGAAATCTGCTGGGACCTTCCCTGTCACCAGCTTACCTCGCTCCTGCCTTCCTGCACCACCACTCCCCTTCTCTCTCCCTCCCTGCAGATGAGTAATGCCACACACACTGTGCCCTCTCCCATGGCACCTGGCACGCCAGGGCCTGGCACAGTGGCCAGGCTGGCCTCAGCCYCTCCATTCTCAGCTTCTGCCCTACTTACTGCTGCCCACAACGACTCCCAGGATGGCCAGCAGCTTTTCCTGACCACAACAGCAGCACATGTCATCTCTGGMATCTTCGTGTGGTCAGCACTCATCGTCACCTTCCACCAGGTATGGGCTGTAGTGGACATGGGGCTCAGCACAGGGGTTGATATGAGAGAAAAACTATTGGTTACCCCCAAGTCCATTGTAAATCACTCAGCTCTGGATAATATTTTTCCTGTTGCTGCCCAGAGGAGATATCCCCGCTCTCAGGGGCCTGGTGCTGGCAGCTGCTAGGGATGGACTTTGCCCACGCTCTYGCCAGGTGGTTGCCAGAGGCAGGAGAGGCTGCAGGGCATTGGCACTGCCCACAGGCAACACCCAGCGGGGTGTTTGGGGTGTTTTGGGGTGCACAGCACCAGCTGCCTTGAGCCTTGGCCCCGCAGTGGGCTAGGGGGGCTGTGTTTTGGGGGTCTGTGCAGATCTGTACTGCTGAAGGCAGCTCTGGGATGGAGCTGCACAGGGGAGGGCACATTCCTCACACAGCCCAGCGAAGGAACCTGATTTCCATATGTCTTCATGCAAGGGATTGACCTGGGGACTGGGATGGAGCCTGTCTGGTGTCTGTTCACTGCTGTGGTCTATGGTGGAAGCTGGCAGAGCTCTCACCCCCAGGGAAAGGGTTAACACAGCACCCCTGTGGGTTTGGGGGTACCTCTGGTAGCCACAACACTGCATGCTGGGCACTTTGCAGATCTACACACACCTGAGGAATTACACCATCCCCAAGGAGCAGCGCTACATCATCCGCATCCTCTTCATCGTGCCCGTCTACGCCTTCGACTCGTGGCTCAGCCTCCTCCTCCTCGGCAGCCACCAGTACTATGTGTACTTCGACTCGGTGCGTGACTGCTACGAAGGTGAGCACAGCATCTGCTCAGCAGGAAGGATGGATGCAGCGAGGCTCTCACCCTGCTGAGCTGACTCTGGAGCGTCTTGGATTGTGAAGGGGCAAATCTCCATTGCTTTCATTTTCCACCCTCCTTTTCTCTGTGCAGAAGTTTTCCCCTTCTTTCTCCCCACAAACACRAGCTGGTGCCTTTCAGACACAGGCTCACAGGGACCCCAGCACCACAGTCCTGGGGAAAGGTTTTCTGGCTGCCTGTGGGGTAGTAAGTGCAGCTTCTCTAAAACATAATGCAAATGTACCCAAGAAATTGGGGAGTTGGGRTCTTTTGAAATGCAAGGGAAGCTTGTCAGGATTAAGGCTGTTTTTCTATCCTGTTCTTCTCTTCCCTGGGAACTAAATTGTGTGGGCACTTGTATTACTTCAGGTTCAGAGTATATGAAAAGTGGTGGGGATGCCTAAAAAAACTGTTCAGGACCTGCTCCTTGCTGGCCACCAGCCATTTGTGCTGCCCCTTGGCAATTCTGAGGTCCTTCCATACAGATGGTCCCTGGATGGACTGTGTGTGCCCAGAGGAGCTGCTGTGTCTGYAATGAACTCTGTGCACATACTGCAATGTGTCTGACTCCACTTGGAAGTCAGATGGATTTGACCTGCTGTTCCTCTCACTGGGCTCCCGCCCACCAGGATCCCAAATCTTGATGCAGTGCCAGGCTGGATGAGGAAAACACCTGAGCAGGAAGGAATGTGAGATGAAAATCCCCTCCTGGACTTCCATCAGTCCTGCTGATCATGTGTGCCCTTGCCTTGGCAGCTTTTGTGATTTACAGCTTCCTGAGCCTGTGCTTTGAGTACCTCGGAGGGGAGAGCACCATCATGACAGAGATCCGAGGGAAGCCCATTGCGTAAGTGCCAGCATCCTACAAGCTTCTCCTCCCCCCAGTTTCCCCATCCAGCACCCCCAATGGCAACCCTGGCTTTCTGCCTCCAGGTCCAGCTGCTTTTACGGGACCTGCTGCCTTCAGGGTATGTCCTACTCCATCGGGTTCCTGCGCTTCTGCAAGCAGGTGGGTACCCAGGGGGGAATATCCACTCAATTCGGCTCAGATGAGGGATCTCTGGGTGGCAGGTCCCTTCCCCACTGCCCTGCCAAGGGGGCTCTGCTTCATCCCTCTCCTAAGATTGCTGGGTTTGGAGTTTTTCTCCTCTGAGGGAGGCAGGTCACCAGCTCGCCGGCACCTGGCCAGCAGCAGAGCTGCTCCTCGCTGTCCTTGCCTGTGACTCACTGCTGAGTCAGGGTCTCCTCCCACTGCAGAGCTCAGATTGCCATCTCCGTCCAGTCCCAGGTTAGCCTGGAAGCTCTGTCACTCTCCAGCACTGCACCGTGGGCTGAATGCTGTCCCCAAGCCACCCACCCCCTACCTTGGAGTGGCTACACTGCCTTTCAGGAGCTGCCTTCTGGAAGCCCCCCCTCCCTCCTTGTGCTGGTTCATATTTCACCCCTCAGCACTGCGTGTCTGTCCAGGAGCAGAGGGGTGGCATGTGGGCAGTGGGGTGTCCCTGCTGCCTTTGTTACATCACATCCTCCCCCTGTGCAGGCCACGCTGCAGTTCTGCATTGTGAAACCCCTCATGGCGATCGTCACCATCATCCTGCAGGCGTTCGGCAAGTACCACGACGGAGACTTCAAGTGAGGATGCTGGGGCAGGCTGGGGAGGGTGAAAAGGAGAGATGGATCCCTGCTCCATCACCAGGGTGTCCTGCCAGTCTCCCCAGGAAGCTGCTGCATGCATAGTGAGGAGTGTGAGCACCAGGGAACAGAGACTCACTGCCCCCAAAAAATAAAGGGACAGAACTCCTGTGAGCTCTAATAAAGAGATCCCACCAACAGAGGAAAAGCTGCTACCTCTGCTCTCCTCCCCCTCCTGCGCTGTGTTCTCCCCCACAGCAAAGCTAAGCACCCTCTCATTCCCCATTTGATCCCTCTTTACCCCCAGTTGCACTTGCTTTGCTCCCCYAGCCCAGTGCAGCATCCCCCTCTCTCTTTCTCCTCAGTGTCCACAGTGGATACCTCTACATCACCATCATCTACAACTTCTCTGTCAGCCTGGCCCTTTAYGCCCTCTTCCTCTTCTACTTCGCCACCATGGACCTGCTGCGCCCGTTTGAGCCAGTTCTCAAGTTCATCACCATCAARGCCGTCATCTTCCTCTCCTTCTGGCAAGGTGGGTCCTACCACGGACACCCAGTGCTTCTCCTCCCACAGCCCCACCTGGCTCAGGGTGCAGGAGAAGAACTAATCCTCCTCCCTTCCCCTGCACAGGGACACTGCTGGCAATCCTGGAGAAATGTGGGGTGATCCCCGAAGTTCAGATCATCGATGGGAAGGAGGTGGGAGCTGGGACAGTGGCTGCTGGCTACCAGAACTTCATCATCTGCATTGAAATGTTCTTTGCTTCCATTGCCCTGCGCTACGCCTTCAGCTGCCAGGTGTACAGGGAGAAGAAAGAAAACTCAACAGGTAACTCTTCCTCACTTCTTCCTTTCTTCAGTGACTAAGAAAAGAGGAAACCTCCCTTATTTTATTAGCATCCCATTACCAATGGGATGCTAAAGGCTACAAGAGAAATTTCTTCATCCTGTGCTCYGTGCATTCCCTCTCCCTGTTCCCTCATGACACCCTCAAGCTATAGCAGGTGGGCAGGAGGAGAAGCCTTGGTGTGGATGGGCAGCATTAGGGGATTGTGGTATTACCCACATGCTGTTGGAGAGGCTCCATCCTCTTTGGAACACGAAGCTGGGCTTGCCTTCCTCCTCCTTGGAACYGCAAGCTGAATGTGGCCCACAATGAGCCCCTGGTCCTGAATTTCTAAGAAAAAATGTCTTGGATTGCTTGSACTCATTGATTTTCTGCCGTCCCAYCACCYYCCTGCTCTCCCTGTTTTGCAGCAAACCTCGCCCCRATGCAGAGCATCTCGAGTGGGCTGAAGGAGACCATCAGCCCCCAGGACATCGTGCAGGATGCCATCCACAACTTCTCACCCACGTACCAGCACTACACCCAGCAGGCRATGCAGGAGGCAGAGGGCAAGGCAGCGGGGGAAAATGGGCACGTGGCCTCYAAGATGGATGGACAGAGCAGCAGGAAGAGCAAAAACATTGAAAAGAGAATGCTAATCCTGTCAGATGAGGAACTGTAGGAGCTATCAGAAGAGATGCTGACACTGGAGAGGTTTTAAGCCTTGCAAAGGGGAGGTGTCTTGAGGCTGAGACAGCCTGGGCTAATCAGAGTACTGAGAAGCCAAGAACTCTACCCAAAAAGTCAGTCTCAAAGGGAAGATGCAATAACCCAGGAAAGGGTCAATCAAAATAGTGCCAGCTTCTGCTGGCATGGATGAAGCTGCATTGCACCCTGTGCTGCAGCCTGGGCTTTGCTGCCCCACTGCTGGTGTCTCTCTGCCAGCCCTGTGCCAATGCTGGGGGATGCCAGGCAGGGAGGGCAGCTGGGGTGCAGGACAGACCAGCCGCCCTTGCCCTCCTCTTATCTCCAAGCAGTGCTGAGGCCTGAGWGAAATGCTTTTCTCAGCACAGTTCTGCTCTAGTTTCTCCCAATTTGAGTAAAAAATGATCTCCGAGGGCTCCGTGGAGAAAACCAGCCCAGGAAGGTGACTTCACTTCACCTCAAAACCCGGTAAAGGTTGAAAGACGTCATTCCTTATTTTTACATCTTTCCCCCTCTGCCTCTCACAGAAAAGAGATGTGCAAAAAAGACCTTTACCATGGAGAAAGAGTAAGTCTCCCTCCAGCTGTGGATGCAGCTGTCCAAGTAACTCCCCCGAGAGCACAGCAGGACCTCACTGGGACTAACCAGAGGTCTGCAGCTGCATTTCTGRGAGCTGCTGGTGACAGAAGTGCTTGTTTATGTCTAAACCAGCTTATCTCTGAACGGATCAGAAGTTAAAAGGGATTCCAGCTTCCTTATCAGAATCTTTATTAGGGAACCAGACTGTGACTGGTGGTGGTAGGAATTCACTTACTGGGAACTGTCTGTCCCTCCTAACCCTCCATTATTCCCCATCCCTGGGCTTTGCCTGACCTGTGGGAAGGCAAGCAGGGGCTGACCCAGGTGACCATGGTGAGGGCAGAGAGGTGCTGAGGACAGAGAGGTGCTGAGGGATGCTGCCACTTGGGGCAAGACCACAGGCAAGGGAAGAGCGCGTAAGGAGGGATGCTCCATCAGCGATGGAGAGCGCACATCCTTCTGTTAAGACTTCTCTTTTCTACCCCAATTTTTAGTCCAATTTCTCTTCTTCTGTTAACGAGATGATCCCTGGGAACTTACTTAGGCRCTGGTTGGGCTGTTGTCTGGGGTGRTRGCTGGGTGGTGGAAGGATGAARRCAGATCTACAGGCTCAGATTTGYAGTCATRGGGCAAACAAAMCGATGGAYAAGGCTTKATGCCCTTTTAAACAAAACTCGTAGAAYTTGTATCGTTTTTTCCCCTGCTCTTAAGCTGCAAAATGTAAATCACAACAYGAAATTATTTATTTTTTTTTCTAATAAACAGCAATTTCTAGCACAGAGCAAGCGTTTTCACTGAGCTCAGCAAGCAAAGCCCACGATCTGCTTGTTCCTGCTATAATGCTGATGCTCTTAAGCTTAACGTCCTCCCTGCCCCTCAATGCTGGCCCAGCAGAAATACCTGCACACGCAGCATCCTGCACATTCTGGCATTCCTACAGGATTTGCGCTCATCTTTTTCACTCCACAAAGAACGTGCGTGTCTCCCGCTTCCTCTCCTTGCACAGCACCTCTTCCAACCCTCGCCTAAGCTGTGCCTGCAGTGGTTCAGAGGTGCTGGSTCTGGTTTAGCTAAGCTATTTCAGACTCCAGCACCAACCAGACAAGCTGGTTATTATTATTGGAGATGCTGCAGCCCAGACTCCACACGAGCAGCCCATAGCTCAGCCAGTCCTACAGGTCCCTCTGGTCCGGAGGAGCACTGCTCATACCTGCTCAGCCGGTGAGACTGCTGCCACTTTTCCTGCAGTGAGGTTCCATAAACAACAGCCATATATATGCTCTGCACATCCAGGATGCTGCACATCCTGGCAGCAAGACTGTCCTGCCACAAAGTGCAGCCTCAGTACTCAGGGACGAGGCTGCTTGGCTTTGTAACGCAGCCAGCACCSGAGCAGGGACATCTCAGCTGAACATCTTGGTCTTCACCCCTCTGGGAGAGGACTGCCACAGCTGCAGGAACAGAGGCTGCTCCAGCTCCTGGGGCGAGCACAGCCTGCAAAGGTGATGATGGCACATCTGCCGAGATAAAGACTTGCACAAGAACGCAGCAAGAGCCGCGGTTGTACTTCATTGCACAAATGATCGACTCCGGTGCATAATGGGCTGCCTCCATTGCTCTGCCAGCAGGTGCAATTCCCACCGCAGACAATAACATTTGCCTATTTATGTCGAGCCCTGATTACTGTATTATATGTAAAACAGATCTTTCTTGCAAGGCAAACAAGGGGGGGAAGAGGAAAAAAAAAAAATTTAAAAAAAAGTCAGCTGTGAGTCATGCAAGTCAGCAGTGTGATACCAGCCTGAAGGAGCCGTGCTGGGCTGGACACCAGCTGGCAGCAGCAGGCACCCTCCCTGGGCCTCYTGCTCGTCCTTTTTCTTGGAGAGGGGAGAGAGGAAAGAGCTGACGGCTCAGGCTGGGCGCTGTCACAGCCCTCAAACCCTCAGGCTGTCAAAAGGCATCTACAGGGAATAAAAATGCCAGCGGTGCTGTAGGCTGGACACAATCCTGCGCTCCTCTAACGCGTCTCCTCCACCTCCTCAACAAGGACACCGGAGAGCTGGCAGCGAGCACACGGGTGACCTACACAGGAGCCTGCTGTGCCTGGAGCCACGCCAGCAGGCAGCCCAGCAAGAACAGGCTTCTCTCACTGCCAGCAGCAGGCTCTGGTGGTCGGCAGATTTGTTTTCCAGTTGTCACTTGTCCTCGGGCTTTCCCCAAGGACAAGGCTGAGCTGYAGCTAAGGGAGCTCCTGGGGCTTTCTGGGCTTGCATCAGGCAGGTTTACACCCTGCTCATGGCAAGTGTGATTGTCACAGGGCACRCCCTGCCATTACACCTGCAGGAACTCGGGCTGACCTCCCGAAAAGCAGGGGGGAAGGAAGGCGGCCACTGGCACCACAGCAGAGCCAGCTCTCACACACAGCTGCTCATTGCACAGCACCCAGAGATGAGACAATTCTTTTTTTTGGGCGCTAGCAYCCACCTCCAAGAAGTCCCTGGCCCCCAGACTGCCAGACCTGCACCAAAGAACAGGATTCGTGCTTTCATCACCCTGTTCACAGAGACCCTTCTGTGCTCTTCCCCCCGTTTCCTCTCACTGCTGAACCTGCACCTGGCCTATTCCTGATGCCCTTTTTCTCCTGACCTAATGCTCCTCCATCCCTCCAACAGTCACAACTGTGCCTCCTCCCTGTCCTCTCCGTTGTCACCAGCTCCTGGCTGCAGCGTCCCCAGACTGCTTTCCACCAACACTGCCATCACCCCCAGGCTTCACCCAGTCCCTGCCCACTCCTCCTAATGACAATCCATTACCTGTGACACACAGAACCTTCAACCCTTGCTCCACCTCTTAATTCCAGCTTTGGCCAACACACCCATCTGTCTCCGACCTATTGCCTCAACACAGGCCAAGTGTTTTAACCTCTGCTCCCTCAAGAAAATCAACAGCTTSGAATAGGGAATTAAAGCCAACAAAACCCCTGGGAGCTCACCAGCACAAGGTATCACCTTTTTAAAGCCCTAAAAGGGAAAAGCGAGAAGATGAAGTATTGATGGGAGGGGTTAAAACAGTTTATTCACAAGCACACACACAGGGAAACCATGAAGGGATGTTTCACAACCCAGAGGAAGAGAGGGGAGTGTCTCTCTCCAGCACTTCAGACAGGTCACAGTGTCTCTGAGCCACGAGTGGCCTTGCTCAGCGTCGTGACTGCAGAGCTGTCAGTGCTGCTCGTGCTAACACAGACACCTACTGACTGTGCACAAAGACAGAGGAACAACCTGGCAAACAGCTCGGCCAAGAGCTATCCCTTGAGCACATTCCAAGTGTCCCAAGAAAGCAGGGTGCCAGCAGGCCGGGTCAGATGATTGCAAAAGCCCAAGCTGCCATCCCACTCTCCTGAGCCTCCAAAAAACACATCGCTCACCGCAGCGTGCTGCACTGGGGACAGGCAGCAAAAAAAACCCGAGGAAAACACTCCACTGAAGATGAATTCAGGCTCCAAAACGCTGACCATAGACCAGGGCAAGTCTGAAACCAGAAAATGCTTTATTGGAAAGGTACAAAAAAACCAGTCACTGCAGCTAAATTTACAGCAATAAATTACGTTGTGGCTGTCAAGAGAAGTAATGGACACATACACAGGGCTATTCGCCTTACAAACAGGAATCCACATTGCTTGGTATATCAATAATTTATTTTATAATAAAAAAGCAGCACAAAAATAAATATTGAAATGAAATTACTGAGTAACCACAGAGGATAGAATGAGCTGGTGATAAAAAACAACTTAAAACAGAAGACTTCTATCATTAAAAAAATGAAAGCAAGTATCCACCATCTACAGAAACACCCCAGCAGACTGAAATACAGACGAAGGAAAACAAATCCACATTACAAAAGTTTTTCAGTTTTGTTTCTTTTTTTTTT